TGAAAAAGCAGGAACATTTGCACTTGATACTTGAACAGAGATATGAACAAGAGACATATAGTTTCCAATAAAAACACACAGTATTTATTGCTTTCCCACATGGCACAACAGCTGATACACGACACAGCTGTTGCAACAGATAAATTACTCAAACACTTCTATATAACAGATCCTACAACCTATTCTACCCAGAGTTACGCGATATCACACATACTGTGATTGACTTCTGAACGTGTTCCTAATCTACCCAATGTAACGTAACAACAATTACGAAACCTATCTCTTTCACTCAACACAACATATCAAATGGCTCTCACTGTTTCTGAGTTCTTCAAAGACCTATCAGAAGAACTAGTCGGCATATGAACTATCCCCCCTCCTTTTATAGTTGTAGCAACCAGCAACTCCTATAGCCCTAAAAACAACTCTCCCTTAATCCGAAAGGGCAACAGAACTGTTCCTGTTGATGTCAGACCACCAGTCCCATCAACCTTTGATCAACAGTTTGTAATCCCACTTGCACCTGGACTTTGTGCACTTGTGTCAGACCTCCTTGTTTCTCGAACCCGACTTCCCACGTACGCTTCCTGGTAGTGCGGTTCCCAACTCGAGGTGCCACCTAGCGTGCCTAGTCAGAAGAAGACTTTTCTCAATGTGCTGATTATTCCTTCCAGCTTCTGTGTAGCACACGAACTCTTCACTGATACTGTTGCTTCAGCAGATTCTTCTGCACTAACATTAACATCAACAGATCATGTTGCTTCACTGATCCTGTTGCTTCAGCAGATTCTTCTACAATAAATGAAGTTCATAACATTTTTTAAAAAAATTGCATTTTCTAATATTAGTTGCATAAAGAAAAAAATCTAGTACAAAATTATCAATGGTGTGTCAAGATGAGTTAAGCTTTGCCTAAACTTACAAAATTGCTGTATCAATTATTGATATTTAATACCATACGTTACAAAATATTGATATACCAAACATTATATAAAATTATATAATGACATTATGCCATGTCGCCAATAAAAAAAAAACATTGGAACATCTTATATACTTTT